CAGCAACAGGGATTCACGCACTCACGCCTTCACAGGGCCCTAAAAGGGACTCACACACTCACGCCCTCACACCGGGCGCGAGCCCCCGCCACGCCAGCAGGGATTCACGGACTCACGCCTTCACACTGGGCACGGGCCCCGGGCAGCAAGGATTCACGCACTCACGCCCTCACGCCGCGCGGGAGACCACCGCAACAACAAAGATTCACACACTCACGCCTGCACAAAGGCCTGTTGCCCCCAGTAACAAGGACACACGGACTCACGCCCACGCCACGCCAGCAGGGATTCACGGACTCACGCCTTCACACTGGGCACGGGCCCCACAGCTGCAGGGATTCACGCACTCACGCTCTCACGCCTGCGGGGGACCGACGCAGCAACAGGGATTCACGCACTCACGCCTTCACACGGGCCTGTTGCCGCCAGCAAAAAGGATTCACACATTCACACTCTCCCCCGGGCCCCCAGATTCACGAATTCACACTGGGCTCCCCCCGTTCTCCGCAATTCACGCTCACGCACCCGTGTAGGCACCCGAGCCCCCGAACCCCATAAAAGTCAAATTCGTCTCCCGGACCCCCACACCCCTGAAATCCTCTGCCCTAAACCCGGCCTGCCGGTGCGCGAAGATTCCAGAAAGCAAACCGGCGCTGAGAACCTGAACGCGAGAGAGGGGCCCGGAGTCCCGGGAAACAGAGAAGGGCCCAGAGCCGTCTAGAATTACAGGAAGGGGCAGCGCAGGGCACTCCTGAGCACGCACAGACCAGACCTCACTGCCTCGGAGCCCACTTGCCTGCCAACCAACCCTAAACCCCAACCCCCTGCAGTCAGAACCTCGCTGCCTGAGAGCCCAACCCACCTGCAATCTCAAAGACACCCCTGAAACCTCTGCAATCTCCGGCGTTCGTGAGCGATGAAGAAGATGGCGAAGGGGACCTGAACGTAAGCAAGGGGCGCAGGACACTCTAGAAATACAGGAAGGGGGCGCACAGGGAACTCTAAAATTACAACAAGGGACAGGGACAGCGCAACAGAACTAAACCTCACGGCCTCGGAGCCCCAACCCACCTGTAACTCCCTGAAGCCTTGCAGCACGCAAACTTGCAGACCTGGCTACCTCAGAGCCCCAACCGCCTGGAACCCCGAAACAACCCTGAAGCCTCTGTGGTCCCCGGCGCTTGCTCACTACCTCCCTGTGTCAAGGCTTGCGTGTTTGCTGCTTGCGTCTCCGTTGCCCAGCAAGAAAACCAAGCATGCCATGCCCGAAATCAAGCAAAACTTATGCAAAATCATGCCAAAAACATGTAAAACATGCACTCCAACGTCCATGCCCAAAACAAGCGCAAGCCATGCAAAATCACGCATATACCACTGCACATAAAATGCCACTTGGATTTATTTTTGGGAGAACCTGGGGGTTTTACTTGCTCTGAGGCGCCGTTGTCGTCAGGCTATACCTGGCTCAGTTTTGAGTAACCAGCCAGGACCAGCCACCCCCAGTGAAACCTGCGTCAGGCCTGCCGCCCGTGCTCGGACCGCGGAAAATGCCCACCCCTTACTACAAAACCGCCAGCAAAAATGCAAAATCCAGTCAACATTGTAGTGGACAAAGCGACACGCCTTGCGAATGGCAGCACCATCCTGCCCGTCAAAACTCTCACAGGCCCTCTCACCTGGATGTCGGAAAGTTACCTGCGCGTTTTGTGGAAGCCTGCCCCGCACCCAGAGGCCCGCGACCCAAAGCGGGCCACCTTTTCTACCTTTTCTTCCATAGGGTTATGTTGGGGATGTTGATTTTCAATGTTTCTAAGGGTCTAGGATTGCATAATATTGTCATTTTTTGTTTTCCATGTGAATTTGTATGGGGATTTCCTATATTCTGAACAAGCCCTTATACTTCTGAAGACTTTATACCATTTCTTCCATAGGGTTATGTTGGGGATCTTGATTTTCACGCTTTTAAGGGTCTAGAATTGCATGATATTGTCGATTTTCAGCGTTCGCTGCCTACAACATGTAAATCAAGCCACCAAAGCTCCAACAAGACACACATGCCATGGCCTTGGTGCAGATTCACTTTCCTTTTTTGTTCGCGCTGCCGTCCCCTAGCTCACGCGTTGTCCATTCCCTCAGCTTCTGGAAGCAGCCTTAGAGCATTCAAACCTGTTCCTAGCTCCGTGCGCAAACGAGCCCATACTCGGCCTGAACCTTGCTGTCCACGGCTCTCAGACTTGACTCCTCCTTTGGACATCAGATCACTCACTGTCCGATACGAAACATTGCAATACTTAGCTGCTGCAGCCCTGATTGTCTTGACGTCAGTTGCGTCTTGCCGGCATGTGTATGCACAGCATGTCTCAATGAACTGCTTAAATAAGCCCTGCACCTGACTGTCACTTGATTGCCTCTCACGCTTCCTTTGGCGAAGTTGGGTCAAACGCTGGATATGCACCTTGCGCGCAGCCTTATCATCCCATGGACACGCCTTGCGATGGCTGGTTGCGCAGATGCCAGGCTCTCTAACACTAAGTGGCTGGATGTTCAGACGTAATCGGAACCAGCAAGCTGGACACCAGGTTTTGTCTTTCCAGGCTTTAGGACGAAGATTGAGGACCTTTTCTCTCAGGCCCAATGACTTTATAACACTCCATGATTTCATCAAACTCCATGGACATCTAATGCAGAAGTTCTTGCATGATGTTGTTATAGCCCTTTGGAAATACGCGCAAAGAGCGTCGGTATAGAAGTAGACTTCACAACTCTTGCCACCGCCCACACGCCCTTTACGCAGACATAAGTCGCCACCAAAGGTAAACGTGAATTGGCCATCAGCCATTCGTTGGCGACTGTTATGAACACACTCTTCCACCTGTCTCGCCGCTGAACTTCAGCAGATGGAACTGATCGATGACGAAATTATGTCCGCAAAGAGCATAAAGTTCGTTGCACAACATAGTCAGCTTGTAGCGAAGTTGAACTATTTCTTCAGGCAACTTAACGTCCAAGGGCTTGTCGAACAAAAACTGTCGATACATGTCAGCAGAAACAGCAATTTGTATGCCTTCCTCCTGTACCGCAGGAAAGGTTTCAGCTTCTTCCTGTAACAAAGGCGTGAGATGGTCGTGCCCTTTTGGACGCAATTCGGCGAGGAACTGAATTGCATTGATTTTGGGCTCCTGAGCAGGCATCTAGGAAAAAGAGAAGGATACTGATCTTATAGGATTTCAAACAAAAAAAAGATATTAAGAAAGGCCAGCAACTCGGATGGAGGCTGGAGTCAGATTCCTCAGATGCACTTGCAGGCGCACCTTTGCGCTTGTTGCTTACGCGGCGAGGAGTTTCTTCTATAGTCCGGCCCCAATTGGTCAAATCCAGGCTCTCCACATGGTTGTCAATGTCTTGTGTTGTCAGTACATGAGCTTCTCTGGGCAAACCAGCATCAAGCGGCGGTGTCTGCAAAGATCTCAACGGCCGGGCTGCTTCGGCTATCAAAGCTTGCAGCAGAAGGCCCTTGTTCTTGGCACGTTCAAGAGATGCAGACGCGTGTAATTTAGCTATCACTCGCTCTTCCTCATCTTCTTGATTCGATTGCCTCAAAAGATCACTCACATTTGACAGCCGGCTAGGCTCATCGGACATTCTGGCAGCACAAGCACACGTCGAGTTAACTGCGCAAGAAAAGGCTGCGGCATAGGAGTTGCGCAACATGACAAACCTGGAAAAGAAACAGAGCGACAAGAGTTTCACATTTTCCTGTTCTTTGTAACTTTCACACCACAAAAACTGCAAAGAACACGGAAATGTGAAACGTCAATTCCTTGAAAAACTTGACTTCTGCCTAGCTAGCGAAGCCTCTGGAAAAGAAACAGAGCGACAAGAGTTTCACATTTTCCTGTTCTTTGTAACTTTCACACCACAAAAACTGCAAAGAACACGAAAATGTGAAACGTCAATTTCTTTGGAAATCGACTCCGAAACCAAGCAGCATTTCGAAAATCTGGAAGCCGAAGCGCAAAAGCAAATTCCGAGCCAGACCCTGCCCAACGGCAAATACCTGACCAGCTACGAGCTACGAGACAGATGGTGCTCGTGTCTGAAACAAACGCAGCGGGGCACAGAGTATCTGAAGGCCAAAATCAATTTTGGAAAAGCACGCTTTTTCGAAGATTTCCAGCCTACCAAGGCCACGCCTGAAGATTTGGAAAACAGGACCATACACGTGGCGCTGCGAGTCCTGGTTTGGGTGGCGCCTGCGCAAGTGGGCCTGTCCCTGGAGGTCTCCGATGTCATGCTGGGGCCGAAGGCCGAGGACGACCTCTCCTGTCCCTTTGTTGCCGCCTAAACCTAACAGAACCAAATATCAAAGCCCCGCAGCACCAACCGAAGCTCGCCGGAC